AGTGCTCAGGGGAAATTTGATTGGCTGAATCTATGGCAGCCATCTTGGATGGTACACACACACAGCTCTGCGTATTTCGAACATCGAATACATTGCTGTTAGCGCTCTAGTATTCTTATTATACCTCTATGTCTTCCACGGATTTTTTTCACAACTTGAGCCTCGAATTCCCCATAAAAAAATTTAAAAAAAAATCCTCAAAAGAATGACATAAAATCATGAACTTTCTCCTTTCAATAATTCAAAAAAAAAAAAAAAAAAAAAAAAAAATTTCCAGAATTGTTTACTTTTAATCAAATTCAGGCACGATAAAATGTCTGTATCTGCGACAGAAAGACTCAGTAACCTACTCAAGCATTAATTTAAAGAAAAACATTAAAACAATCATACTCGCTCGGAAAGAAAATACTGTATTTATTCGAATAAACGCCCCGCTTTGAATAAACGCCTCCCTCGAATAAACTCCCCCTCTAGAGCCTCCTCTGGAATAAACGCCTCCTTCGAATAAAACCCCAGGTTTTACTTTTTCCTGGAATAAACTCGCCTCTAAACGAATGTAAACAAATCTAACGGAAGCATATAATTTCTAACACATTCTTTTAATGCTCTACTCAAGACTATAAGTCTTTTTGATCACAAAATAACACATTTTCATTGCAATTATGTGTTGCAGTGCCACATTTACAGTGAAATTAAGGGGCTGTTTGAGTAATATGCGTACCCATTTTACACCAAAAATAAATAACTAAATAAACGCCTCGAATAAGCGCCTACCTCGAATAAATGCCTTCAAAAAACCCGCTCAACAATAAATGCCCCTACGTTTATTCGAATAAATAAGGTACCTTTATAAATGTTTGTTAATCAGTATAAATATGAATGCATCATTTCATTATAGTGAATTTGATGGTAATGTGTTATCTATTCATAAAATGAGGTTGCACACAAGATAAGGGGCGAGTTGATTGGCCGAGCGGTTAAGTCAGGGGCACCGTGATCTTTAGCTCTAATATCGGCGTTGGTTCGAACGGCTCACTCGCCAATGGTTCCGGTGGTGGAACAAGTCTTCTCGGATAAGGACTTTAAACCGTAGGCCCAGTGTACGCATTTGGCTCGTGTGCACTTTAAAGA